CGTGAATGGAATTTTATACTTAGATCTCTCAATATAAGTAACGTGGTGCATTATAAATTGGATAAATTATCGGACACTTTCTTAAATTTTTGAAATTTGGACAAATTATGTATGAATGGACTAATCAGCCATGATTACTTTGACTGCATGTGAAATCCAGTTTGAAACTGGTAAAGAATTTGATATGGCCCAGTGGCATTGGTAAAATTCAGGATGACATTAACCGGCTGTGGCCTTACCTCCTTTTCATGATCAACTTTCCCAAGCGTATCCATTTTCTCCATACTACCAATTTATATTTCTCATCAGTCTATATGGATGTGTCAGAAAAGTGAATGTTGAGATGGATGCGCCATAAGACTAAAATGAACAGAATTAGAAATGATTACATTTTGAAAATGGTTAGAGTAGACCAATTGAAAATAAAATGTGAGAAAATAAGTTAAAGATGGTTTGGATACATCGTGCAAAGAAAATCTTAAATGGGCCTTGGAAAAAGTGACATGGTGAGGGGTAAAACTAAGGAAAGATGGTTATACTAGGGGAAGAAAAGTAATAGGTAAAGTTGGTAACAAAAAATATGATAGCGTGTAAAGGCAAAAGTGCAAAATACCCCCATGAGGTTTAGTCCATCGAGCAAAATACCCCCTGAAGTAAAAAAGTAAGCAACTTAGTCATAGTAGTTCTAAAATTGAGCACTTTGTCTCTCTCCAGAGGTCGGAATCCTCTTTCCGGTGATACGGTGATGCACGTGACTCAGACTTTTTAACTAATTCTAAAATTACCCTTCAATATGACGATTATACCCCTCCCCTATAAAAAATGTTTTTGCATCCAAACTTTATACATGATCGTAGTCATACAACTATATATACACACATATACATCTCTATTTTTGTAATATTTGATACAATTTTTGAGCAAAAATGGAGAAAATCTTTGCCAACTACGAGCTCAAAGCTTGTGGTATAGTTTAGGTCTCAAAGTGTGTTCCACTTTCTCTCTCTACTGGACCTGTTTTTCTTCTCTCTCTAGAATGAGTTGCAGGAGGATGATTGTGGGGAGCTTGGATCCAGAGAGGAAGAGGAGCAGGGGATTGAGGACGAAACGAGGTGGGACGAGGATCGTGCCGTGGAAGTTAGGCCGGAAAATCCAAGTTGCCGGGAAATTTGTGATCTCCCGCACTAAATTTTCTCTCTCTATATCTATATCTATATCTATTTGTTACCCTACACGGTCATCTAATTTCAGTTTGTTGATTCACTGTTGCATCAAAGTTCAAAGTCTCGTCGCGATTCGGACCTATGGGGTATGTGTTGAAAGAAGCTTTGAAGACTCTCTGTGCCAATAACCAATGGTCTTATGCTGTTTTCTGGAAGATCGCTTGCCAAAACCCAAAGTCAGTGTCCTCTCATATTTTTTCTAATCATTGAAATTTGGATTTTTTTTTATTTATTTTTTATTTTTTATGTGAATCTCTATTTGGTCGCTAAGAAAATGGAGGAAACCCCAATTATATAAATCCCTAGTTAGTTGCTCGAAACATGAAGGAAAATAAAAGATAATGGACAATCTGCTCTTCTTATTTTCAAAATTTGTGGGGTCTTTGTTTGGTTACTGAGAAAATGGAGGGAGGGGGAGAAATTATAACATTTTCTGTGTCAAGTATACTTGTCTTTTAGGTTTATGAAAATTACATCTTCAACTGAGTCGAACTTTTTATTTCCTAGGTCTTGACTCCTAAAAAAAGGGAAAAATCAGAGCCAAATTTTAATTTCGTTTCTTTCCCTGCATTTTCTCTTTAACCAAACAGGCTTTCTTATTGAACTTTTTGATTCTCTGATAATTCTTAGCTATGAGTAGAAATTTATGCGTTTGCCAACCGCGTGATTCACGGCGACTAATTCAAGGCACCATGGTTGACGACAACCGTGATGGTATGGATCACGGTAACAAGTTCACGACACCATGGTTGACGACAACGGCGACGGTGATCTAACAATGATAATGGAGTTTCTTGAGAATATAGAAAGAGAATACCAGTTGAGAGAGAGATCGTACGATGGAGAGAGAATGTGGGTTTGGGGTTTTATTGGAAATTACATTAATATACCTGATTTTAATGAGGTGGCATGGTCTAATAAGGTTATATTTGTAAAAAAAAATGGGATGAAAACCAATTCGTGATGGTGTTGGTGAAAGGCGGAGGTGGTTGTGGTGGAAGGGAGTGGTGGTTTTTGGATTTGGAACATGAGGGTTTTTTGAGAAGTTGATTTTTTTTAAAAAATTTACTTGGGAATGTAATGGCTATTTCATAGGTTTAGTTGTGGAATGTATTTTCATTCACCATTCCCACTTTAAATTGCATACCAAACAAAGGAATGGTTGAAATGGGCATTTCACTACATTCTATTCCATTTATGTACACCAAACATAACATTAAGATCAACGTTGGGGTAGAAAAACCCTCGGTAATGGTTTTTGAGTGCTTCAGCACGCCCCACACGAAGAAGAAAACAGCAGCTCAGCATGCAGCTGAGGGGGCGGTATGGTGCTTAAGGAATTTAGGTTATTGTGAAAGCAGAAGTGGGAAAAAGAATTTGATGGAACAAAATTCTACTACACAATCTGGCATTTTAGTCCTTTTGCTTCCCTTCAATGACTCTTCTACTTTTCTGCTTGTATAATTATTATATGTGTTTTGTAAATCATTATTGTTCAAGTAGTGTTATTAGCTCATATTTTTGGTTGAAAACAATCTTTCAGTGTATGAATGGGATATGCAATGACAAATATGATATGGCTGCTGCTGTGGAGAATTGTGAAGATTCCAGCTTAAATAAATGTTTGCATTCGAGTAGTGGTTTTAACTCGTGTTCTCAATTTCAAAATGTTCATTTGGTTTGCACAAAGAAGTTACTCTCCCATTTGTCATTTTGAGCTTTTAACATTACACTTTAGTAGTGAGTTTGGTTAACATGTGTAAATGTAGGACAAGAAGGGATAAGGAATGGAATGGGCATGCAATGTTATGGTAATGCAACCATGTTAACAGCTGTTTTAGCTCTTTAAACCAATATTTGCTTAAAAAACACACACACACACACACAAAACTGTTGGGGACTCAACATGGTAATGCAAGTATATTATTATTGAAAAAGTGGGCAAAACACACCCTCTATTTGAAAAAGTATGTGAAAAACACCCTTAATATTTTCAAATTGTACAAAATTACCCTCAATCAGAAATCTGTCATAAATTAGTGTTGTAATACCTTTTTTGTCCTTTTACTCTTCTGAAAATGCCTAAGGGGGTATATATGCTACTAATCACATAGTATAAGGATGCTATATGTACATTACTTTTTTTTTTGAAACTTTTTTATTTATATATATATCTCTAAACTTCTTTTTTTGAAACTTTGAGAATTTGGAGAACAAGGATTTGAATTCTTTGAGATTTCAGTTTACTGTTTTCTATTAAATTTATTTATTTATTTGTTAAAAAAAAAAGAAAAAAAATCCCAATATTAGTGTGCACTGGATTTCGGAGTTTAGAACAAATTTGCTTTCTTTAGTTTGCACTTTATTTTCATTTTTTTTCTTCAATACTTTTATTTTGATTTTGATTTTCTATTTTTATCTTTACTTGTTATTATCGGTGTCCTCCAATAGTGTATTTTTCGGTTATTTTACAAAATTATTTATTTTTAAACATTTTATAAAATGGTTAACTTAGGGTTTAAATTTGTAAGGGGACCCATTTGCACCAAATTGAAAATTTAAGGGTTTTTTTTTTTGCAAGTGAGGAGCGTCCTCTAATAATATCATTTTTGGTCATTTTTTAAAATTATTTATTTTTATATATTTTATAAAATGGGTAATTTAGTTAACTTAGTGTTAAAATTTATTAGAGAACTTTCCAAGTATTTTTTTTTTTTTTTTTTTTGCACGTGAAAGATGTGATATAAATATACTTTAGAGTTGTTTTATGTAGTTGAGCCCCTCACCCTAACTTTATCAACCATCAAAACCCTTTTTCTGATTTTCTTTCTCCGCTTCTCTAATTATTGCGAAAGTTCCAAACCTAATTTATTCAAATTTGCTTTTACTTCCTTCTCTCTGGTAAGCATTCAATTGATTTTCTTTAGATTGTTCTGTTTGTTTGTATTATTAATTCTTCTCAGCTTTATCCTTTTATTTTTCTCAAGGGATTAGATTTCAATTCTGGGTAGATCTCGATTTCTCTCCTCCTGTTGATTGAAATTTATCTCTGTTCATACACCATATTTAGCTATCTCTATATTGAATCTTCTTCTTTTTGTTTATTTATTAATTTTGTGGGTTTGTTAAGTTATTGTAAGTAGAAACATTTCACTAAGCAACTAATTCTTGAGTGGGGAAGTTTGTTAAGGCAATTATCCATCTATAGAAAAAACTTGATGCCTTCCTCGGTTTGCACTCTTGTTCAGTGAGTCCTGACTACCACCCGATTTCATATAATTTTTTAATTAGTTAATTGAATGAACTCGTGCACGGCACCGTGTGAGATACAATACACACTTGCACGAATACGATTCAAATAAATCTAGTGTACAATATCTTTTTCAAGGAGTGTCTCCGGATAAATTTTCATTTCTTTATCATTGGCAACCAAGTCCCTGAGAAAGGGAAGTTTTTATTTTCATAATTGCTTTGATTAACTAGCATAAGGAGATAATCAAAGCATGTATTGGATCTCTGAAATATTATTATTATTATTATTATTATTATTTTTCGAAAGTTAGGCAATTGTATAAAGAAATGAACATATGTACAATGGGCTTCGGCTTGGGCTGGAGAAGAATTTACAAAAACAGACCAAAACAACAGGCCCAGAACAAGAACCCAAATTGGGCCCAGGCAAACCCAAGTATAAGAAGCAACCCATGTGGAGGCAGCCCTCGATCTCTCCTCCTCTTGATTGAAATTTATCTCTGTTCATGCACCCATACATAGCTATCTCTGTATTGAATCTTCTTCTTTTTGGTTATTTATTTATTTTCTGGGTTTGTTTAGTTATTGCAAGATTTAGATGCAGAGAATTAGTAAGCTCATCAGGGATTAAGCTAATTTCATTTAAATTAGGTTTTGAGTTATTGTAATTCACTTCAGCTTTTGTATAAAAATTCTGACCTTGTTAGGAATTCTCTCTTATGGAAAACATGAGCGAGCAAAGTGGGTTACTTTCTATTTCAATGGGAAGCAATAACGACGAGTATGTGAATGGGTTTAGCACAACAACACGTACTTTAGTTGATCCGGGTTCCGAAGTTTCGGAGTCAGTGAATCAAGAAAAGCCATCGATTCCTGATTGTGAAAGTGAGATTTCCGGCCCAAACGGTGTGCAATCTCAAGATTTTGGTGATGGATTGATCAGAGTAGATGAAGGGGATAGGCGGTTTGCGATTATCCAAGAAAGATTTTTTTTGGGATGGGGTTCTCTTCGAGCTCATAGCAGAGTGGTGGCCATACACAAATATGCTTCCTCTGGCTTTACAGGACAAGCCCGGTTTCGCTCCTTCCAAAATTTCAAGGAAGCTATGGAAAACAAGTGTGATGGCAATGCCAATGTGAGGTTAACTTGGTATGGTGCTTCTAAGAATGAGATTAGAAAGATAATTTCTCATGGTTTTGGTTATTATGGGAAATCTGAGCCTAAGAGCAATGAATTGTATGGCCGTGGCATCTATCTTTATCAATCCAATTGGTCTATGAAAAGGTAAGCAAGTATTTCCAACATTTTTCTTAAATTATTTTTCATCGTCACTTGATTAATGTCATATGCAGGACATACAATTGGTAATGCACTAATTGTTTAATGTCTGAGTATTGTTGATTGTGTGCAATTTCCTTTGGAATCATGTTCATAATATATAATTTTTTCCCAGTAATCTTTCATTCAAACTAAATATGTGTGCGAAAAGTATCTCTCTTATATATATATATATCTTTCCTTTTCTTTTACTTTCATTTAATTTTTTGCAACAGTCATCCTCTAATAATATTCCCTGCAACCTTTATGAAGAATTAGGTGTCTTTTATTTTGCTAATATCCTTATCTCAATCTTGTTCTTCAGGAAAAGAAGATCTCACATCATGAATTGGTACAGCAAAGGAGAAAGTTTGCAGGAGACAAGTTGTTGACTGCTATCGTAAATTCATACATGGACATGGTATGACTTACTCTGGTGAAATACTTGCGTCTATTCAGTAATGGTGTGGGAAATTGAATCTATTTTACTTGATGAATGTCAAACATGTTATCTAATGTTTGTTTTCCATGATTATTTTGGATGTGGTTGTAGCACTAACAATGGCAACATGTACTAAGATGTTGAAGAAATATAATCATTCTGAACATGACCTGTTTTCCTTTGCACTGAGTTGTCATTTTAAAAGCCTCTTATGCAGGTTACATTTGAAAATTTAATCAAAATACCCTTGTTGGGCCATGTTTCTTGGCTGTGAGCAAGCCCTTTATCTACACATTTTGAATGTATAGTTTTATGGAATATTTCATGAAGTTATATCTGTACATTTATATTTAGAATTTGAGATATTGAAGACTAGTGAGTACTAAGTAGAAACATTTCACTAAGCAACTGATTCTTTAGGGGTAGATTGATAAGGCGGTTATCCATGTGAGTAGTCCATAAAATAGACTGTGTGTTCCACGAATGGTACCTCAAACTGATCGAGACTCCAGCTCTAGATTGATGGCTTCCTCGGTTTGCACTCTTGTTCAGTGCAACTTGCTTGAGTCCTGATTGCCAACAAATTTCATGAAATGAATATAACTTTTTCGAATAGTTCATTAATGAAGTGTTGCGGTTGTAAACATTTTTTATGCTTGCAGTGAGCTTAATTTTGATATAATTCCATGAACATGATGCTATTAAATTTTAGTTTCTTTTTAAAGACCTTTATGTTTGATAAAGTTTGATTATTTGTTTCATCTATTTTTGGTCTTCCATATCCACAAGTCATGTGCATATTTGGCCTCTTATTGAGTGGAATATTGTGTTTGCTTTTTTGCAGATACTTCAAGATTCAGTGAGGAAGGAGATGGAAGGGGCGGTTATGTGAAAATAAATTCAGATGCTTGAACTCAGAAATATATGTGATCTATTATTATATCTTATGTTAGGAAATTGCTTGGTTCAATTTGGGACTGACTAGTGTGAGAATTTGAGTCAAGAATGAGAGAACGAACTTTGTGCAAAATATTTTCCCCATCTTGTCCTAACTGGTCTGCTATCAGAATCCATCAGTCGTTGCTAAAAACGTTTACATTTTATAACGTGGGCAATAATCGTTTACAATTTATCCACCTAGGTTAATTCCATGTCGTGAACGTTAGAAATTGGAATATTTATGGATAATTTGCATGGTGAGAGTGGCCATGTTACATGTGCAGCTTACAGCTTCACATTAGAGATATCGTAAGCTGTATACTCAACTGCACATATCACAATACCACACCATGGCACATTTGTAATATTTCCAAATTTATTACATTTATAAAACCCAAACTTCTACCTTTTAATCACTTTCAAATAAAGAATTTGATTTGGATTCTCACCAATAGTTTCTCTCTAAGCATCTTCAAGTCATCATTAAAAGACTATAAACATGCTATGTCATCACTTGACATTTATGTTATGGTTTCATACACAAGTAAATTGAAACACACATGGCAACGTAACATGTTCATAATTGTCGGATAATGGCTTAGATAAAGAAATTAGCGAAGTGAATCCAAATCCAAAAGAATTAAACAGTGTCATTTTTGTGGTAAGTCAACAAATTTTCAATTATTCAAATTAAATAATATATTATACATTAATATGAATTTTGGTGCGTGTATGAGGCATCGGTATGTGTCTAAATACTGATTTATTCAAATGTCCAAACCCAGTGACAAGAAGAGATGCTACAAATTCATTTAATTTAGTAGTACTTTTATTTTATATGTTAAAAATAACATTTTTATTTGACATAAAATAAGCAATATAAACTTCACTTGTTTTGTAGCAATAAAATAATCTAAAGAAGAAATAGAAAAAAATATGTAAATTATATAAATATAAACATGAATTATCAGATACCCTTGCTTGTTAGATATCCAATTAAATGTGTTTATTACATCTCATGCATGAGAAAGTATATAATACCCTAGAATACTTAACATGTGATACTCCTCCTAATACCCGTGTTTGACTGTGAGTGTCATTGTATGTAGTTCACCTCACATTCACGGTAAAAATCAATGGGTGGGTATCTTAGTTTATTCAAGTAGAGAAACAAAAATTACTTACACTGGGGGAAGGATTATGTGACATTGAATATGGTGCTATACAACCTGCAATTAGCCAATTCAATGCATTGTTAACAAATTTTGAGAGCTGCTTATAAAAAGAATATTAGACCTGAAACAAACATCTCTCATTTCCTGAAACACCATCCATTATTAATAGAGAGACTCTGGACTCATGTCCAAAGTCCAAACAACAGGCAAGCATGTATAGGAACCATATGCACATGCAATTATATATATACATATACACATGCCTAATGATATATATGAACCTATACAGTTTAAATATTGCATATATTCCTGTGTGTTTATATATGAAAAGAATATACATATAATCATGCATATATATATATATATATAAATGTTTACAGCGTATGCTTATGCACATGTTAATCCTTACTCATATACATGCCTACATACTAACCTACATATACTAAAACAGAAACATCTTATTGGCATCTCATAGTACTACTTAATTTACCGTATTTTCAAAGCACTACTTTGCTAAATTATTTTCATAGTTCCAATCAAATCCAAAAGAAAAATGTATTTTCTAATTTTGAAATTTACATATTTATAGAACAAAAAGAGAAATTGCTTAAGAACAGTTGCTTCAAACCACAAACACGTACAAACGTAATAGAAGCAAATTGGCCAAGTGCGTTCAAATTGAAGGAAATGAAAAGAAAGTAAAGGAAGGGGATAGCCTAGCCAAATGAATTGGTGAAATTCACTTGATTGCATATTAGTGATCAAATTCTCAATCATTTACTCTCATCGAATAAGATTACTACCAAAATCATCTTTTACACTACAATTTTAACAGACAGCCCACATTTACTTATATATTGTTTGAATAAATTATCGACCATTTCAATTTAAATCAGCCCAAGACATATTTATTACAATTCTACATTTTACGAATCAAATCTTCAAATTGGAACATCATATTCATCACCGGATTGGTCTGGACTTCCCATTGACTTGTGGGAATCAATACTGACCCGATTGTCTGTCGTCGACTTGCTTGGTGCCGGAGCAATCTGTCGTTCTTGGTGCTCTCTTGCAAAAGCCCTCAGAAACTCTCATTTAGCTCCCCTTTTTGTGTCACTCAAGGACAGCCTCTAGAGAGTATTAAAAAATGTATTTTTCAGGCCTTAAACCTATCTGCTGCTATAACATTGCCTTTATACACAAACCCTTGATGATACAGCCCTAAAACCAATGGATAGGATTGAGCTGAGGTCCTCCAATCTGTGAGGAAGAGTATTCTGAATAAAAACAATTTAGTTATGTGATATCAAATTTAAAATAAAGAACTCTCGGTTGCATATGTATGAAGGATAAACGTAACTGAAATATCGAAAACAATAGATATTTAAAATCAAATATTTGAAAAAAAAAAAAAAAACAATCAGTACAAGAATTTTGTATACTTGAGCCCTAACTTATAACCAAAAAGTACATTCACTTATTAAACATATATTTACGCAGTCCTTACACCATATCAAAAGTCCAATATACAAGTCATACTCTGGAAGTTTCACATCTCACATGAGCCCGAGCTCCCCTCAAATAGGTGGTATGTTGTCAAAGCCCAAGTATAGGATCAAACACTCCCATGCTCCAACAAGGTGAGCATCGCATGTAGTCCAACTACCGAAACATATGGCTGAATTTGTGCATCTACCCACCCAGATGATTCCGAATCACATCAACGTAATAAGGGCATACTCAGCCCAATGGCCTATAACAAGAGGGGTAGTGCACTTCTAAATAGGCTGGTCCCAGACCATGCTAGTAAAGTCGAACCTCTCCGACTAATCAAATAGTATCCAACAATTTCAATTAACTTAATAAGTCAACTGTATTAACGTCAACTCATAATCATAATTCCAATTCAAATTTCAGACAGTAGGCATACCACTGTACTATTCATATATATAATCTGTTAGCATATATACAGTAGCGTAGCCAGGAATTTCCTTGGGGGCAATTTTTAATAGCAATAATATATATATATATATATAATTTGAACCAAAATAATATATGTAAAAACTAAAACATTGATTCATAATATTTCTATTTAGTACATTCACAACTGCCCTCGACAATTTTTCATATTCTGAAAGCGTTGAATAATAATATCATTGTCAACAGTACTAAATATGTCTCTCTCAATATACACAACCATATATATATATATATATATATATATATATAATTTGAACCAAAATAATATATGTAAAAACTAAAACATTGATTCATAATATTTCTATTTAGTACATTCACAACTACCCTCGACAATTTTTCATATTCTGAAAGCGTTGAATAATAATATCATTGTCAACAGTACTAAATATGTCTCTCTCAATATACACAACCATCATATCATTCATCCATTGGTCTTCCATTCGATTGCGCAGTCGAGTTTTCAAAATATTCATGGCAGAAAAAGCCCTTTCCACTGTGGCAGTAGCAACTGGCAAAATCAATGCCAATTTCAAAAGCAAGTAAACTAATGGATAAACATTGTCTATTTTTGTCTTAACCATTCTTCGAGCAAGATCACCAATTCCTTTTAAATTTGAAAACTCCTTGTTAGAGCACATATCAATAATATAAGTGTTTAGTTGATCACCAAGTTTCAGGAGGTCTAACGGAGCAAAATCTCTCGGATAAAATTCAGCAAGAAGGATTAGTTTTTCCTTGTCAAAAGAAGCGAATGAATCATCTAGACACAAACACGATATACAAATAAGCAACTCAGTGTTTGACTCACTGAAACGACTATTCAGCTCTTGAAGTTGCATGTCCAACACAGCATAGAACAATTGCACACAATAGTAATGCAAATTTGTGATTTCATTAGCTTTACGTCGTGATCGCCCTGGAGTTACAAGTGTATCATTCATGTTGGGAACTTCAATACCATGTTTTTCATAAAAAGAAGAAACTTGTTCGAGTAAAGAATCCTAACCATTCTCTCTCATCATTTGAAGTTCTTTCTTGCATACTTTAATCAAGGACATAGCATTTACAATGTCTTGATTTTTCTTTTGCAGCGCCTTTGACAATTCATTTGTAACTCCCAATATAGCCCTCATTAAATGGAGAGTAAAGACAAAATTGAATGACTGCATGAGTGTCAATAAATTTTTTGCTTCAGATCTCTGTTCAACATATGATCCATCATCTATAATTATCTCAAGCACATCAATAACAGATGAGAACATAGAAATCAAGCTGATTAAAGTATCATAGTGAGAGCCCCAACGTGTATGACTAGCATGCTTCAAAATGGTATTCTGATTAAGACCCCGTCCACTTTCAATTTCACCATTATTGAGTGCTTCAATAACCATGGTAACTTGTTTTTCATGAAGAATATCATGACGTTTACATGAAGCCCCAATAACATTGACCACATTAGCAACATAGCTAAAAAAAGTGGTGATATCAACATGACTTTTTGCAACTTTCACAAGAGCCAACTGTAGTCGATGAGCAAAACAATGGACATAAAAAGCACATTTATTTTCCTTTAAAATTAGTGTTTTAAGACCATTAAATTCGCCTTGCATATTACTAGCTCCATCATATCCTTGCCCGCGCAATCTAGTTATACTCAGTCTATGCTTACAAAATAGTTCATCAATTGCCATCTTAAGTGAAAGAGCAGTGGTACTTGTAACATGTTCCACACCTATAAAACGTTTAATTACATCACCATCCATATCCACATAACGAAATACAACAGCCTTTTGTTCCTTTGTTGAGATGTTACGA